ATGAGGAATCTTAGTTTCTAGGGTTGCTTAAGTATATATTTAGGTAGATACCTTCTGGATTAGGAGATCTTAATGCTATCTTAGCATTAACCATGTGAGATTAGATCTTAGATATTCCAGCACTCAAAAAGTGTTCAAATGGAATGTCTGATCAACTAATGCCAGAGATCTATTTACTTACCCAAGAGATTGGTTGCTAAGGAGTAGATTGACATTAATGAGCTTGTTCTTTATGCCTATTTATAGTATGTTTCATCAATGAAAGTTGAGATTAGGAAGTGCTATAGATCTGATAATCTTTGCCAAGAGATTGGACTGATTAGGTTAAGTGGTTCATTGTCTAGGAATAGATCTATCTGAGCATGTTAAGCATCCCAAAGATACTAAGAGGATTCATCACCCCATTAGCCCATCCTTAAGACCCTTTGTTTATCTGATTGATTACCTGCCTTTATTTACTGCTTTCATTATTGCTTCTTTAAGTTTACTTTATTGCCTTAGAGTTTATTAAACCAACCCCTGAACTACTTGCAGTCTTATTTGATTGTTGTATTACAGTCATGCATGATAAATCTGTAGAATGTGTTACAGCAATTGTTTGTTAATTAAATGTTTGTATATTTAAGTTGGTCAGTTAATAATATAATTGTAAAGATATATGAATTTTGTGAAACCTTGTGAAAAGATGTTTGTTTGCTGGACTGTTTTGTTGGATCTGTTATGTGCTTCCTTTCTTTTGTTTAATGTTAGTACTTGTCCATGATTGGGTACAGTAAGTAGGTTTGTTATATCACCTAGAACACTTCTTTTGTTTATTACAGAATCCATAGTCATCCCTAGTAAGTAAATATAAAACAATATCATCAATAAATTAAGGGCTGCCTGTCGCAAACCCCCTCTACAATAACCGTTCAACTCGATTCACCCTACACTTTCGTCCTCTACCCAATTCACCTTATACTAAATATATGTTTCTCCATTCCACATAAACTATATAATCCATTCTAATTCACCAAATTCAATTAAACTTACTAATCGTGTTTTAAAATCGACTAATCGCGATTACTGTACTGTGATTTCATTAAATTCGAGATTAAACTATTAACCCGACTACATCTATATGACCCGAATTGAAACTAACAAGATTTGGGAAAATATTAGAATATAGGGTTCTTCTTGTTGCCTCGATACTCTCTTATTCTTCTTCTTGTTCCTTCTTCTTCTTACGAACACTTGAGATGGATTTAATCCGATATAGACCTTTTTTTTTTCTGGGTTTGTTCATCATCAAATCTGTTAATGAATAACAAACTTAACTAGTAGATTTTCATAATTAGAACACAACGTCCCTACTATAGTTGTCTCCAATCACATTCAGAATATAGGAGTGAAGATAAAGAACACGTTTGTGCTCAATAGCTATGGTTGCAATTTTGTTTAAGGACTTGTAATGTTTTTGGGTTGGGTGTTTTACAAGTGGAAGGCCACTGTGATAAACAAGTTTCTGAACAAACAACACGACGATAAGACGCATGGATTTGTGGAAAGGTTGTTTAATTTGTTTTGTTCTGTTTATGTTGTTATGCTAAAACCCTCTCAATGGGTATGTTGTTGTAAGAAAAGCAGAAACAAAGCATAATCAAAAGACATCTTAGTCTAAAACCAAAACACATGCGAATAAGAAATAATGTTGTTGACTTGAGAATCTCCAAAAAAAAAAAAAACATTCATATGCCATAAAAGAGAGTTACCAAAAAACAGAACCTACAAACTAATCTTCTTGCGTTGCTTGAGAAGGTTGTGTGATTGCAAGCGTATCCAGAGCTTGACTTTTGTCCTTATTAGTCTTCTTCTTCTTAGACTTCTCATTCTTAGACTTCTTCGCTTTATTGTGAACCTGAAAACAGTAGTAGTTCATATGAGACAAAAAATTTAAAAATATAGACAAAGGAAACCAAACAATAAATAGAATCATACCTCGTCAAGTGAAAAATTGTTTGACTTTCTTTTCCTCGGTACCTTTTCCTTAGAAAACTTCTTATACCCTAATGCGTTATGGCCAGCTTCACCACAACTCTTGTAGTGCATGATCCATCCAGTTCTGCCAAGTCTTTCTACTTCTTCCTTCTTCTTCTTCTTTTTCTTAGGTGACTCATTCTTTCCTTTGATCTTTGCGAACTTCCCTCCTTTTTTCTTTGATCCTTTCTTTCTCCCAGGAAGTATAGGTTCTGGTGGTGCGACTACCGACTTGTAAGTTGAATTCATCCACAATTTTGGTCCCCTTAATGGGATAGTGGCTGACTCATAGTTGTCTCTCCAAATATCTGTCAAGAAAAACCTGGATATGTAGTCCTCAGCGTTGAAACCAGCTTCTATCATTGTAGCATAAGCATGCTCACAAGGAATCACAGTTATTTGCGACTTCAAATATGTGAAAACCCTTTTGAAAATAGACTTTACTTGAACACTACAATCAACATGTCCCTATATGTTTGGACCTTTATTTCCTTGTTTATAGGTGACCTAACCCTCTTGGTGTTTTTCAGTTGTTGAAGTCGTATTGAACTCATATGATTACAGATTCTCCTCTTCTTCATATTTGTTCTCTCTGCTTTTTTGGTTTTGGCTGATAAAAAGTAAAAGATGATTCTGAAACCAATCTTATTTCAATTGAAATCTCTTTGATTCGTGTTTAGACTGTGCTAAGTATATTTTGACAGATGAATTGAACACTAACTTTGTCTTCATAAATGTTTTTGATTCCATAGTATCGAGATTTCTATTTCATTAAATTGTCCCAAATTAGTTATGTTTATATTTTAAACTAACCATAAAAGTATACTACCCTTGATTGCAGGGATACAGTGGTAGTTGGGATACATCAATCTTTCAATTTGATTTCATCGACAACTCTCCTATATGGTAAGCATTCTTCTAATTCATTATTGTTATATTAAATTAGAAAAGAGAGAAACAGAAATCACCAACGAAACAATCTGAAAGCAACATTTAAATGTTTGGTGGCCACAATTATTTTAACAAACCATAGAACATCCAATATTTTTAGATAGAATCAACAGTTTCTACATAAATGTCTTATGTTGGTTCATATTGAGGCAATCAACCACTGCAAAAGATTTTTAGAATAAATTAGATTATTAACATAATTTTATGTTAAGTATATATTTGTACTGGTTGAAATAAAATAACCTCACATTAAGTTATCATAATTGAACTCTGGATATTCTTCATCCATCAAAATACGTGAGCAACCAAATGAAGTGATTAAGCAAGAGTTTTCTAATTATTAACAAAACGAATTATAACTTTAATACTTACACGTAGTTTATTTGATTTACGTGAGTAAAAATCCTCCCTAAAACAAAAATAGATAATAGAACTAACCTTCAAATTGTGAGATTCTCCAAAAACGCAATGTACACATGATTGGCTGATTCAGGTGCTATGAATTTCATGTTACCTTTTCCTATTTTGCCTAAACATTGTAATAGAGTTTTTCAAATTTGTAAACATAAAATATATGTGAAGAATTTAACACATAATAGAACATAGCTAAGTAGCAAATATCTAGCTAAGGTACAAACTTACTCCTCATCTTTGATTGTGAATGTGACAAATTTTGCTCATTTGTGTAACCATTTTCATCGTCTAAGAAATTTATCTTCTGGATTGGATCCACTTTTACAACGATTCCGGATGCGTCTGCCATTAAAAGAGGAGAAAAACGTATATTTTGTTGTTAAAATTTGTGTACTTCTTTTTAAAAAAGATATTGTAATAAACAATGCCTTACCATAACAATATTGGTTTTCCTCATCACTTGCATTCTGTATTTTGGCTGAAATTGTGAAATTGAAAAAAACTGAGAACTGATTTTGGGTTTAAATCATTCATTCTTGTGTTGCAGAAAATTTTTATCTTCAAAAGATGTTTGGAGTTCTTGACTGGATAATGATTCTGGAGAATTGCAAAGAATGATAAAAGGTACCAATTCCCTTCTTTAATATTTCTTCGAAAATCCTCATTATACTGAATATATGGAATGGCTGCATCTATTCTAGTTCTCTGTTGGAAAAACTTGAAATAGTTAATAACTTGCTAAGATGTATTATGAAAATCTTAGACATTGAAGTATAGGTAGTAATTTAAGCTAATACAAACCAAAAGATAAAATTCAAACCTGCTTATCAACCAAAATCATTTCTCTTATGTTTCCAAAATCATCCCTTAAGGGTTTCCAGTAGCATAAAACTTTGCATACAACATGTTGATTAGTTGTATGTAGCTGCAAAGTAGAGAAGAAGGTTTCTCTCCACATTTGTTTGATAGATTGTTTGCTGAATGAGTTTGTGTGTTTCCTGATTGTTTATCTCTATAGATTCTACACTATATAGAGCTGAATAGCCTTTAGTTTTGTTTGTGTTCCATATATCAATATTTAAAATTTATGGTCAGAAGAAATTTTGTCTGCATTAATGTTTTGCTTTTTGCCTAGTAAAAGCACTTCTTCCAAACATTGTCAGTTTTGGGAGTAGTTGACCATAAACTTTTACTGTTAGTTGAATTAATATTTTGTTTTGTTTTGACATAACTATTCTTTTTTTTTTTTTTTGTTTGACCACATGAACATATCTTTGACTGGTTTTATTTTTCCAAAATAATCGTTTGGAAAATAGGTAAAGTAGATATGTTAAAATTCAACACGAATATCCATAGATATGTTTTTTTATATATACATACTTTCTAATGTTTTTAGTTGCATGAATAATGAAAGTAATGGAAACTTTATTTGAAACTGTAAATAACCAAATCTCAAAGTATGGATACAATAATAGTATGGAAAACTGTTTGTATATTAACTTATTGCTTATGCAATAACTTAATACCAAACGTGAAAAAGCCATACTACTTTATTTTGAAAATCAAAGTACTTAAACTGTAAAACTTAAATAAACAATGACCAATGCTGATCAAATGACTTAATCAGCATTATCCTTCTCCCCTCCTCTTTTTTCTGGGTGTGGAACTGTAACTCCATTTTCAACAAATCCCTCCACTTTTTCGTCTTCAATGGCATCTTTTATGGATGGTAGACACATTTTCTTAAAAGATGATGATTGTTCAGCCACATCAATGGAGTTCTCTTTACGTTTGGAAGAAGGAGTATTAGTCGCAGTTCCATTAAAATCACCAGTTCCATTGCTATTAGAGATACACATCTGATCCTACCAAAAAATTATTGTAGACACATTATAATTTACAAAGACAACCAAAAATTGTTTTATGCAGATTTGAAAAACATTTTATACCTGATCAATAGAAATAGCATCCATAGGGTCTGGTTAAATTTCAGAATCTTCTATATTATCCACATTAGTTACGGCATCGCCCATTTCCACATAAGAGACTTTGTAAGTTTCTTTACCTTCGGTGATGTTTGCAGTTGCTATTGTTGCAAGAAACTTATAAGTCTTTCCAACCAAGTTCTGGAGAGGCATTGGGACATTAGTTGGGTCTGATATCTGCATTTATTTAAACATGTGAAAACAACCTTAATACATGTATTTTTTTCAAGCATAAAACTATCAAAGGAAACTGTACCTCCTGAAAATTTCCTTCTAAGAGCTCTGTTATACCCTGATTGACAATCTTTTGAGCATTTGTATCAAATAAGATGAATTTGGTTTCCTTAGTAGTGTCCATAACATCAAGACAAAGTCTGTAGCTATATTTTATTAGGCATAGCAGAACATGTTTAATAGAGATGTATATTTAGTAGAAATCAATTTTAGAAAACTGTTTTAAAGCACGGGTAATAAGTAAATTACTTGGGAACAGCCTTGTCGACATCTTGGTTACATGTTTTACAATACCAAACATGCTTCTTTGTCTTACTAACAGGCTCATTTTCTTTCTTTGGAATCAAGTAGCAAGTTTGTTTACATTTGAGACACATAAAATAATACCAACCAAATTCTATGTCAATATGATATATAGTACACACGATCAGCATATTTCCTTCCTATGCATTGTTACATAAGAAATGAATTAATATAACTATTTCATAAACGATTGAGTAATGCATATAGTTGAATATTTACCGAGGTAGCTTTGAATAGATCTGAAATGGTACTCATTGGATATTGGTTGATGTAATCATCTTTGTCCTTTTTCAAAATACGTTCTGTAGACTGTTTGACCACAAAAGAAATTTGAAGATCATCTTTTTGTAAACTGTGAATGTTAAAACAATGTAATGGATTAGGAAAACAATCAAGTTAGTTTCAGCTAGAATAGATGATTAATTGTTAAACATATTTTGCTATGAAATCTCCCACAATCGTGTGGTCTGGATTGATTTCCAAGAGCGACATATCAAATGCATTTGAAATAGATCTCTCACCTGCAAACCATATTAATTTTATATAAGTAGTTAAAATGTTTCTAAGATGATTTTAGAAGTAGAGGGTTAGCTACGGTACCATTTTATGTATTAAATTTAGCATATCGCGGCAAACAAACAACAGATCCAGCTGATAGTTTTTGGCATGCATCCCACATTGTATCTGCAAACTTGCCCCATAGAGTACATGATAAACGTTGGTCGCTGAAAACAAATAGAATTGTTAGTAAAGATTAGAAATAACTGTTTATTGGGGACTTTATTAGAATGTAGTCGATTACCTAGTGTCTCTCAATTCAACCTCCAATCGTTTTTTTGATTTGTTATTCTGTGATGATGTTTTAATCTCTCCTACATTGACAACCTGGCCAAGTACATATGTAGGATAAAATATTTGTAATATATTTTTTATAAGACAATATGAAATTTAAAAGCTAGAATTACCAAATAAGATGTGTTCATTCAACACATCTTCAGCTAGTATGTCGTCAAAGGTGGCTGTATCTAAATATAAATCATTTGACAATGGAGGAAATTTTGATATGATGGTTGAATTCATAATGGAAATCTTGTAAGGATGTTTTGTTGCTCTGAACTTTCCAGCAGATCTACTTAGCTGTAGATTTTCAATGGTTCTCCATTCACCATGTAAAATGAATCATTGAAACTTGGTCAACTGTTGCTTCTTGATTGTTGCATGAATGAGTGTACCCTTGAAAACATTAGAAACTTAATATTAACATGTTTATATATATATTGTATCAAAATATTGAAATAAAAACGTATTACATACAAATACATCAGCAAGGATAGCCTCAATGGTCTCTCATGTGAAGGTAGTATACTGTTTCCACGTGTGGACAATCTTCACTTTGATTTTCCATGCGGTCTTGAAAGGTTTAATGCTTTTTATGTCAGTAAAACCATTATTTGCAGCCATATTGCTAGTGGTAATGGTTGTTTGTGTTATGTTCTGTATAAATGCATGACTATATTTATATAGATGTATAAAGAAGGTTGTTTTCATTAGGTTTTAGATTGTATTGATTTGAGAATATTATGTTAAGATATTTGATGATTTATGCGTGACAATTAAGATGGATAAGTTATAGTAGTTATAAATATTTTAGGAATGTCATTACGTACGTGCGTATTGTAATATCGAATCTGTTATGTTAAGGGCCTGACTGGTTTAAACGCAGCGGTTGCGGTTGCGGTTGCGGGAGTTTGCGGAAGCGGGCGGTTGCGGTTTCAAGCGTTATAAAGCGTTTTGAACGACTGGTTTAGCGTTTGAAAATGAGTGTCTTTGCGGGAGTTTTATGACTGGCAGACCAGCGATTGCAATAGCGGTTTAAAATTAAAAAACTAACAAATAAATATAAATACATTATAAAAGTGTATAAAACCAAAACTATATTATTATGATAAAAAATATGAAAATTAAATATGAATAATAACTTTAAATCATAAATAAATTACTAAATAATTAGTCAAAATATATTAATTTATGCATTTATTCCAAGAAAAAACATCTCTAACGATCATCCCATATCTCTCTTGATATGCCATCTCTAACTGTCGACATATATTCATCAGCTGTTGGATCATAATTTCGATTGAGTACGTTATCTTCACGAGATGGAGATGTGTTTCCGTCTGGATCAGCATCATAGTTCTCGGTTTTTTCTGCAGTATTAAAGTCTCTGTCAGCTTCATTAGAATCTCGAATAAAATTATGCAATGCCATAGTTGCAGCAACTATCTTCTCCTGCATCTTCACATCATAACGAACCCGACCTTCTAAAATAGACCATTTTCCCTTCCACACTCCAAATGTTCTTTCAATTACTGATCGAAGCGAAGAATGCCTCTTGTTGAATGTCTCTCTCAACGTGGTCGGTCTATGTCCAGCAAAATGATTTGGATGGTATGCTTCACCTCGATATGGAGCCAAAAACCCCCGCCGATTAGGATAGCCGGAATCCACTAGAAAATACTTCTCTGAATTTGGAAATGGAAAAAAATTATCATGACGTGCACAATATGTCAATATCTTAGAGTCGTGTGCGCGTCCCGGGACTCCAATACGTGTGTATATAAACCTCATATTGAAATCACACACTGCCAAAATATTCATTGATGTGTAGTTATGATGATTCCAGTAGGTGATCTTTTGATTGCCACCAACACGAACACGTACATGCGTACCATCTATAGCTCCAATACAATCTCGAAAATATGGAAAATACCTCCTATCATGCATGATTCGTGGGTGTATATCATCAAGCTCTTCTCTTTTCCATGAAACAATGTCTGAATGCAAGCAACAAAGGGCATTAAGAACATCATTAAATTTTGTTGTCACCGTCCACTGTGCAACCTGAAAATCTGCTGCTATACTCCTTTGTGATGGATTATGTCCCAAAATCTTGAGCGACATTCCTAGTGCAACTTCAGATCTTACCCAATGAGAATCTTTGAGCCCATAATTCTTTAGCGTATTTAAGAGCTTAAGAAATACTCTTCGTCTCATACGTAAAACATGGAGGCATTGTGTATCGCTTTCATACATTAGTTGATGCATTATACGCTGTCCACGTTCCGGATCCGTTCTCAACTGTTCTCTTTCACAAAAACGATTACGATCAATAAAAATTACTGCTTCAATAACTTGGTCATCTGCTTCTATTATTTCTCTGATTGTGTTCAACTCCATGTCACTTCCTTCCTGAAAAAAATTAAATTCTTGTCACCTAATTTGGAATCATGAAAGCATTATTGTGTAAAGAAATCAATTGAAAAATATTATTAAAGCCAACAAAAACTGAAATTAAAAAAAAAATATGATCCTCAATGTCGTAAAAAAATGCAAACAAGAAAGCATAAAATATCTCTCACCAAATAAAAAGAAAAAACATAGAATATCAAGTCAACAAAACCAAAACTAAGCATCAAAAAAATCATTACAAGACTCCTTGGTTTGTCGCTTCAGAAAAGGTAGCTTTTCATCATCTGGGAGAGTAAGAAATAAACCACGCACAACATCGTTTGTTGCAATAAGATCAAGACATGCCCAATAAAGCTCTGTCATCGGAACTAGATCAGGTACTGCCCTCACATATTTGACAACAAGAGCCATACGTTCTTCAGTTGAATTTGTTGACTGATTTTGAGACTTTGCATTTGTCATCTGTTCAAGTATATCATTTCGCTCTTCCATAGTTGCAGCAATACGGTCGAGTGTCGAGTCTACTGGATTTTGTTTACGCTTTCTGTTCCGACTTACATTGTTCCGACTTACATTGTTCACTTGAGTGTGTGTGGAAGATCTTTCTTGTGATGCAAATGACAGATCCACGTCGCCTAGATTTACAGAGCTTTCCCTAGGAATTTCTGACATCCAATTTGGGTCTTGAGTTTCCATAGAACCACGTTCATCATGATTACGCATCAGATCATCTGTCTCTTCTCCATTATTGTTTGTACATTCACTATCATTTAAGCCAACTACTGGAGTATGACGGCGTACACCACGTCTTGGTTGCCATGACTCTTCGACCACAACAGTTTCATCTCGGAATACCACATCAAGAAGTGGTAGAAACCGCAGTGGGTGCGACCGAAGCCTCGAAGCTTCAGGATAAGCCTTATAAAACAAAACAAAAATTTATTCAAGATCCGATTTTAAAATAAATAAAAAATACAATATACACAAATATATAAACCATATTATGATCGTTATAGATAATACTCTTATAGTAACACCGATCAAATTATAAAATTACTCCACTACGTAAGTTCTTATTTTTTAAACCAACGAATAGTAATATAAATCGATCATAATGAAGTACAAAGATGGATCATAAATCAAATATATAACAAAGCATGTAATAGTGACCGCCAATTTACACCAATTTATGAAACCGATTTAAATAAGTGATTCATCAAACCACACAACAAACCAATTTAACAATAGCACATGAGAATATTATATAATTGTTACATACCTTAATTTTGTCTCTCCACCAATGATCAGGGGCATCAAGACTTCCCGTCGTCGAATTAAATCCAAGGCCAGTCGACCCAAACGTGAATTTACGATAGATTTCGTATTGCCTCTTTAAAGTATCAAGTCTGTTCTTAATTTTGTTCCACGTTAAGGTTATTGGAAAATGATTTTTAAAATCAATAAGAACATTTTCTTTTCCTTTCTCACTCAAAGTTTTTCCTCTTGAATTTCCAGCTTGTTTCTCTAGTGTTATCAATTCTAACAATAAACGGGTCATCTCATCTGGCCAGTTGAGTTTCTATTCCATAAAACAAGTTTAAACACATATTCAATCAAAAAAGTTCAGAAAAATATACATGCAAAAGATGATGACATGAAATCCGTTGAGAACATATGTAAAAGCTAATGAATGGAGTAAAGATATATTTATATAACTTACGTTTGCATCTTGACTTTCATTAGCTTGGGCAGATGCCATAATTTTGATGGAGGAAAAAAAGCTATTAAAAAAATAGGGTTGCAGACAATGAGTCTTACGATGGAGATATGTGAGAATATATATGTCATATTATTTTTTTTAATTAAAGTTGACTTTTCGTTTTTTTTTTGTGTGTGTGTGTTTTTTTTTTTTTAACCAACCGCAAACGCCCGCAATCGCAAACGCTTGCGGGAAGGAGCTTTTGAAATCCAGCGATTTTGAGCGATTAGAAGCGTTTTGGAGCGTTTTGTGTGAATGGTACTAATCGCTCACAATCGCAATCGCATGCTACCAACCGCTAGGCAGCTGAGAGCGGGAGAACCAATCAATATATTTTATGGACAACAATAGCACACACTCTATAAATTTCCAAAAATAGCATTAATTAACATAATTATAATATTTAATCAATTTTTTAGAATTTTTTAATTAACTTTTAAATTTGGGACGATTATATCCCGAACTTTTAAGAAGTCATTTTAATCAAAAATTTATGTTGACTTTTCCGTAAAACAGTTAACTTTTGTTGACTATTCCGATTTAATCACGACATTTTATTACTTTTAGGATTGTGAAACGGGGTTAATTACTATTATGTGATATGCTTCTGTTTAGCATAAACGACCATGTATTTTAAACTGCAAAACAATGTTCCTTAAGAAATTAAAGAAACGCAATCCCAAATCGATTCACAATTTACAAATCTAAATCCCTAACCCAAGAAAAAACTACAAATTATCTTTAGTCTTCGAGATTGATACACTCCATATTCAATTATATTTTCATTGTGTTTTGTTGCATTTAGTGTCTAAATGAGTCTTCTTGCCTTTTATAAGTCATATAATGTCTTTGAGTGTGTTTTAGTGCGTTTTGGGTGTCTTTTAAGTCATTTCAGGTTAATATAATATAAGACACATGTTTGAATGTAAAGAGGAGAATTGATGATGCAGATCCAGTCCAAAGTTCCTCAAAGATCGACTCATATGAAGGCTTTAACTTGTGCTTTAGCGTTGACGAACTGAACAAAACAGATAGGAAATCTAATTAGCTTTCCAACGGTGGTGGTTTCAGGCCAATCAGAGTTACGGTTCATGAATTATGACTGATTTAGTAAGAGTATATCAATTTCATTGCTTTGTGGTTACATGATCATGAGTGAGTAGTCTTTTAGAGTTCTTGGGTTTTGGTAGATTAGGATGATTTAGTAGTTGGGTTATGGAGTTTAGGACTAGATTATTTAGGATCCTTTCTTTTTGGTTGCTAATAAGGCTAAATCAACATTGATCATGTTGATTTATAACTTAGGAATTTCACGCCCGGAAAGTGTTCGATGAAATTCTCGAACCAAAACTTTTAAGTGTTTTTCATTCCTAGCATTTGGAAATTGTTGATTAGGGTGATTAGTGCTTAGATAGAGTAGTTTATAATGCTTATTGATCATTTGATTACCTTTGAAAGAAGTTGATAATTGATTGATTAGTAAAGAGATTAATGTCATGGAAATGTGTTGGTCTTGCTTAGTGTTCTATAGCCTAAGAATCATTCTTTGTTATAAGTTGTTTGAACCTCGATAACCTATCTCTTTGTCATTCTAGTTAATTGCCTTAATCCGAGAATTCGTCTTTTAGTTATTGCTTAGTAATTTACTATTTCTCGCTTTGTTTGATTTTAAAACTTGTTAGTCTTTTGGTATTTACTTTCTTTTGTCTTGTTTTGCATTATCTAGTTTGAATTCGATTGTCAATCAAGTTTAGAAAACCAGATCAAATATCTTATTAAGTTTAGACTAAGCAAATTTGTGTATTCTTGGTGTGTTAGTTAAATGCTCCTTGAGGTTGCTCCTTGAGGTTCGATAATTTAATTGGGTAAAATGACTACATCAGAGATTTCAACATAGATTAAACTTCGTGTTTAGATTAGTAAGGTCAACGAAACTTGTTTATTTCACGAACAAATCAACATAAACTTTGTGATTAAAATGACTTCTCGAAAGTTTGGGATTAAATCTTCCCAAATTTGGAAGTTAGGATTATTTTGACAGTTTTCCTTTTACATTTGGGAAAATGTCAATTAAATCTGAACTTATTGGTCAACGCCATTTAAACCCTGAACTTTGCTTAAGTCCATTTAAATCATGTAACATTGTTTGACTATCATTTTAAACATCACATTTTGTAAACCAAGCCACACTACACATTTCGTAAAATGATAAACCGGAGCAACTAAAACCCATATAACATCCGTTAGCTCAAAACGTGTATGCGAATCAAAAGAAAAAAAAATCCCCAAATCACACAATTAAACCGAAATATTCCAAAATTTGAGTTTTTTCTTCTTCATCTTCTCCTCTTCACGATTGTAATATGAGTTGCAATTTCTAACCAGATAAAGTTAGAAACAAAAAATGATAGTCAAACAATATTACATGATTTAAATGGCCTTAGATAAAGTTCAGGGTTTAAATGGCGTTGACCAATAAGTTTAGGGTTTAATTGACATTTTTTCCTTTTACATTTAGGTATAGTTTCTAAGGGTATAACTATTTTTTTTTGGTAGGGTCTAAGGGTATAATTAATTGTTGGGTTTATAGTTCTCGATTTAATTTTGAATTATGATGCTAATTTTACAAATTAAATCAGTGAGTTCATTGTGATTCCAACATCGATTCTGAAGTCAAGGCACTCGATTGCTGTTTGATTTTGAGCTTGTCAATGACAAGTTGTCATCATCGATTTCGAAGTGGGTTTCTCTTTGATTAAGGTGTTTACTCTTTGTTGCGAAGCCAAAGATCTTTGTCTCAATTCCGCCAATGTTGTTTAAGAATTGAGCTTGACATCGTCGATTTCCAAAGTGGGTTTAGATTGTGAACACAGAACACTCGATTCTTCTATGGTACAATGATTATGTTCGTGTCTATGATTCTAATAATTTCAGATGTTATACTGGTTTTGGAGTTCTCTAGTATTACTGGTTTTGGAGTTCTTCAAACGTGTATCACATCATGTGATACTAAGTGCTTTTGAATGCTTTGTTCTCAACGTGTCTTGAAAAGCTAAGCTAAATGAATTTCTCAAAAATATGTTTTGCTCTTGTTCTTTTGTTGATTTTGCAATGGTTTGTTTCACTTGTTCTTTCTCCTCAGGGTGAGTTGAGCTGCAGTTACTCTCTTTAAACTGTGTTTTACGGATTGACATATAAGCTTCTTCTTCTTCTTCTGGCAGAAGCTTTAAATTGGTTAGTCTTCTCCTAAAATTCGATTTTGTATTTAAGCTCTTTATTTTGATGTTTGATTTAGGGTTTAATATCAGTTAAAAGACGCTTGATTTTGATGTTTTGGTTTGTAACAGGACAGTGCAGCGGTTTTTATAAAGCAATCAAAGAGATCTGAGGCAACCCTTTTCTCCTCTGGTTAGTTCTTTTAAAACCCTTTTCTCCTCTGGTTTGTGTTGATGGCTTTTGAATCTTAGCTTAGGTTCCGTAGTAGAACACAAGTCTGATTTTAATTCATTTTTGGCATTAGAATTAGCTACTAATGATTTTACTGATTCGATTAGAGTGTTCTTGACTACATTAGAGTGTTCATGATTTGATTTTTATCTTTGTTGGAGATTAGAGAAGTAGTGTAGCAGAACAAATGCAGTTTAGACCTCAGTTTTTTATGTCAACTGTTTCAGATCAACCACATTGCTTAAGAACTGGTAAGCCTTGTTATAAGCAGAACGTCTAGGTTAATTTTGCATGATCTGTCAAACTCTTAAGGTTTAGCTATTGTTGCTTCTGTTTCATGTCTTTAAGTTGGTTTGTGTTTGTTTTTGCTTTGCTTCCATTGATGCTTGTTCAGTGATGATGAAACTGTTTGCATCTTATGTTTGCATAGACTTGCAATTGCTTTCTTGCTGTTCCTGCTTCTTCTTTCTGTTTTTGTTCACCGTGTATATATATTTTGTGCTAATGGAACATGATGAGTTATGTAGTGGTTGTGCCAGTGAACAATATCTGAATTGTTAAATAAATAAGTAGATTAGTAGACTTTAACCGAGGTAATTACATTTTATAAAGTAGATTTAGGCATAGATGAAGGCCCTAGAGGCTAGAGCTAATTAGACCAGCATTAGTGGGAGTACTCTATGCTATGCTTAATATTTAAGTGGGCCTGAAATCATTAAAAAATAAAGAAAAAGCCTCATAAAAACAGGTATCGTTGCTTCTTCAATGCGTCGGAAGCATTCTATAAGTACCACCACGTGTTGAAATATGATTGGAAGATGAAGAAAATAGAAAAGGAGAAAAAAAAATTAATTCTCCCTATTTACTTTCTTTCTCCTCGACGCTGTCGCCTCTTCATCTCCTTCAACCGACGAAAAGAAGAATCCCAAACAATATTCATCAATCCGACAAAGTTAAACTTGTGGATCTCAATCCACCCAACAATATTCAACAACGAATTCGAATCGTCTTCTCTGTTTATTGTAAGTGTTGATGTGTACTAGTTGAGGAGTTTATTTCCTTACTCTGGATGTGTACTAGTTCTTAGTTATTTTGAAAAGAGTGTGTCTACTGTTGTTAGCACCTTATCTTCGTTGAAGCCTGGCATTTCTTATTAGCACAACAAAATCATCTCTTTTCTGTGTGTTAATTGTATTGTTTTGGCTCTGATCATTTAGAGGCTGTACTTGAGGCGACCATAGAGAAGGTGGATGCTAAGACCCTTTACTTGAAGGAGCGTGAGAAGCTGTACAAGATGCTGAAGTCAAATCCAAAGTTTTCAGTCTGCTTCGTACAGTGACGAGGTTAGTTTG